TTAACAGCCATGTTTAATTCGATTTTGGTTTGCGGAGTTTCCCCGTTATCTGGGTACAAGAGTGGTGCTAGCACCACTGGTACCAGTTCACGGGGAAAATCGCGCCTTAAATTCTTGAGAAATTTTTCTTTTGCTTCAGATAAAAGGCCAAATTGATTGGCTGAATGAAAAGCCTGAGATAATATAAGATGAAGAACTTCAGGCAATGAATCGTGCAATCCTTCTTCGTGATGTCTATTGCTTGTCTCAGAATTAATGTAATTTTTTATCAATTCAGGCAGCTGTTTTTGTATGTGTTCTAAAGCTAATGTACGAATTTCAGTATTCTCAGAATGCAGTAATGCAATTGCAAATGCAACTTCTTGTACTAGAGTTAAACCAAGTACCTTTTTTAAACGTAAAAAAAACTTTGGTGATGGATTCAAAGTCTGAAAAATAAAATTAAAATTAATAAAGGTTATTTAAAAATTTAATATATAAAAGTTTGATAAAAGTTTGATAAAAAAATTTGATAAAATGATATATTATACAGAAATATTTAACATATATATCAATCTATACAAATATACATATATCACTTTTGATATAATCTTAACCTACATAAAAAATAAAATAAACCTTTTGTTGATGAAATGGATGATCTATAGCAAAGCACAGATTAGAAATAAAAGAAGGTTTGCTAAGAAGATTAGTACACTCTTGTTTTAGAAGTTGCACTTGAAAATAATCTTTTGCACTTGATTCTGGAGGTTCTCCTGTTGAAAAGTCGATGCACGAGAGTAAAGAGCGCAGCAAATGTCTGTCTGCCTCCAAACCCTTCCACTGCACCAGCTATAATACAATAAAAAAGTTTTAGAATAGAGTGATATATGAAATATCTACATAAAAATAACATATTAAATATGACTTCTATGACATTATTATTATATGTTCAGTAAAAAAATAAAATATGAGAGATTATTACTTTGAACTTTGAACAAAATAAATATTTCAGAGCTCTTATTTTTATTAAATATATTGAAAAATATATTTGTTAAATTAAATTTTTATTCTTAATAATTTTTCAATAAGAAGAGTTGAAAAATATACAGAGTTTCATCGTTCGAAATAATACGTTGGAACACATACAAATTACGGAAAGAGGCTAAGTTCAAGATGTATTTCATGCCGCGTGAATATTCAATTGCCAATAATTATAAAATAAATCTATTAATCTGTATATACATTTATATTTATTGTTTTTAGCAAAATACTCTATTTTAATAACTAAAATTAAATAAAATTTATAATAATATTCACAAAGCATATTGCGCTGTTTCGAGGACGGCGTGTGATGAATAGAAGGTGGAAGGGGTGGACATAAGAGATGCAGTAGTACAACAGGTTTTTTTTCTACTTACAACTGATATTTCTTGGCAGCTGTCCCGAAAATTTTTCTTATTTAAATTCGCAACCAAATAACTGATTTGTGACAAAGTAAAAGACAACGAGTCCAGGTTCATAGTTCCATGAATACGACCTCGAAAGCTTCAAACGTGTTTGAAGCTTTCTTCGGTATCCACGAATTGCCTCCCCGGATTCTCTCCTCGTTAAAAGCATGAAAACTACATTGGCACAGTCCTGCGACCAACATCGGGATTAATATTTTGAAATACAATTTCAAACCAACGTCATGGCGAGCACAACAAGATAATACTGAAAACGTAACACTACTTCAAGATCACACCATACAACCAGTCACACTCTACTGGTCTCTTTTTCCATCTACTTCGGTAGACTTCTACCTCTACAAGACAACCGGTTGAATATTTCTTTAAATCATCACTAGAGAGCGTTAATATTCAAACTAAAATTATTATTGCATTTTTATATTTTATATTATTAATTTTTACATAGTTATAAAGTATATCTATATATATTTAATTATAAAGAATATGTGAAACCAATGTTTTTATTTTATAATTATATCGATTAAAAAACAACTAAATTTGTTTAGTCTTTGATTAAATGATTGTGACAAGACGATCAACTTTAATATGATTATTATTTCACTAGTAAATAACATTTATTAAAATATTTTCCAAAATAGAATAAAATTATGAATTTCTGTTTAATTGCGTTCGAAAATTAACATTAAATATATTAAAGTAAGTAATAATAGCGATTTTGTATTCAATAATATAAATATTATATATATTATCAATATCATGAAAAAATACTTATTTTATATTTAAATTTCTTAAATTTATTAAAAATATATTATATATTTAAAGGAAGATATTAATAATATATATAATATATATATAATATTTTACATAATATATATGTATTTTGATTATTCTACTATTTTTTTTATTTTAAATTTTTTATTATAAAAGATAGGAATTTTTTACTGTAACTTTTTCCAGGCATGTCTTTTCATTTGTAAATTCTCTAAGAAACTCTTAAGATCAGTATATAAAAGAAAGTTGTGATAATATAAATTTCTATTTATAAGTTTTCTTATAATTAATATTTGAAAATGGAAATATTTATAAGAAATCAAACATTTGAAAGAAAAAAAGTAAAAAAAAAAATGAGGTAAGATTTTTATATAAGTATTTTTAAAAATATAATCTAAATATAATAGAATAAAATATTATTAAATTATATGACTTATTTTATTTTTATTTAAGTAAAGCAGAAATGCAATTAGCAATAATTAAAAAAAAAAAATGTGATGCTAAAGCTCTCACAATTGTTGAACAACTTTTAGAATCAAAAATTGATTCCCAGTGGCTTTTAAATAATGTAAATATAATTTTTGATATTCAATTTTAATTGAGTAATTTATTTAATATTTATTTAAAATACTTATTCATTTTTTAGTTAAAATATATTAATAAAAATCATATGGAAGATGTGATTGAAGAAAGAGCCATAATTAAATTATGTGGTTATGTGCTATGTAATAATGCATTAACGACAATAACAGATCAACGATATCACATATCAACAAAGAAAAACAAAGTTTATGATATAACTCGGCGTAAAAATTTTTGTAGTTCACATTGTTATGGAGCTTCTAATTATCTTTTAGAACAAATGCTTACAAGTCCTCTATGGTTAAGAGATAAAGAAGAAATTCCAGAATTCCAAATATTATTAACTAAAGATAAATTTAGAAAAAATGTAGTTGGAGATGAAATTCATGTGAAAGATATAAAAATGATATTGAATCCTGAAAATACAAATAAATATATAAAAAAAAATAATAATTGCACAAAAAATATGCTTTTAAATAAATGTTCAGAATTTAATGCATGTAATGAATATATAAAAAAAAGTTCTCAAATTAATGAAAATATACAAACAATCAATATCACTAAAAAACCTAATGTTGTCAAAGAATTTTCAAAAAATTTGGATGAAACATCTAAAGATATAAAAAATGTATCCATTAATTCAAAAGATAACAGTATTAAAAACTTTATAAATAATGATATAGTTAAAGAAATATATAACTCAAAAGATAATACAGTAGATACAATAATTCAAGATACTGAAAATATAAATAATGATATTATTTTTTCAAATGAAAATAAAAATTACAATATAAAAAATGAAGAAAAGGATGAAATATCTGAAATATCAGTAACAGAATATAATATTGTAACACAAGATGATATTACTAGTGATAAAGATCTTATGTATGTGTGTAAACAAGAAATAAAACAAAATAAATATAAAAAATATAAACAAAATTCTGTTAAAGAAGAAAAATCAGATAAATTTTATAATCTTACAATCCATATTGAACATAATGTAAAAGAATGGATTACTAAAGATACTATTGCTTTATTAACAGGAATAGAAGATATTAAAAATCAATTATTAGAAAATATAGTTCAACACGATCGATATTTGCATTTGTGTAAAAAATTGAACAAATTACAGATAGAAGATGAAAAAGAAGATTGTATAGATTTAACTGCAAATATTTTAAAACCATTACCTCATTTATCTATTCTTCAAGAAGAAGGAAAAAAAATGGAATTAAAAGTAATAAAATTTAAAAATTATATTAAAAATATATAGTTTTTGATATAATTATTATTTTTAGGTTCGAGCATTTTATAAAGGAAGCATGATTATAGAAAATCATAAAAATAGTACAGAAGTTATTGAACAAAATAATGATTTTACTCCTGTATTACCTTTAACAGATGCACATGCACCTAAAATACTTCGACGTCGAATATTTTTAGATAAACTTAATAAAATGTATTATCTTTTAATATTTTTTATTTATAGATGCATAAATGTTAATATTTATTTTATATATTTTTTTTCTTATTATAGATTACCTGATTTATTTAATGCTTTAACTAAAAATAAATTATCACAATATGTATACAATAGTGAAAAAAGTACTTTAATTAAAGTATTAATTAATACATTTTCATTGTCTGCTTCAAATATTATTTTTAAGACAGCCGAATGGACTCTTGTGGGTCTTATTATTGTTAAAATGCAAGTATTGTAATATAATGTTAAATGTAATATAATATTAAAATATGATTGTTATATAAATTATTAATGCTTTAACATATTTTTTTTAGGTTGAGTATGATAGATCCAGAGTTGAAATATTTATTATCAACCAAACAAGCATTAATGTATATTTCAATGATTTTAATGTCATATAAATTAGATTCAAATTATTTAGAAAGATTAATAATGGAACTAATTAATAATAAAGATTGAATATATATAATAATAAATATTAATCTATGTAAATTATGTTTATTTTTTATGTGTTATGTATTGCATATATTGAAGATATAAATTTTTATATTTATTAATGTAAATGAAATATAAATGAAAAATATATTTTTTTGTATATAATTTATATATATAATTTTTTAATAATTATTTATATTAAACATAAAATTATATAATTTTTTATTATTTTAAATTTGTAATTCAATAAGATATAAAATAAAAATTTACACATTTACAAATTAAATTGTTAAGTTATATTCGTGAATGTACAAAAAAATACATAATATGAAAATTACATAAAATTAAATAATATATTATATTGTAGTTATAATGAACAAGAAGATGGTGTAGGTACACCAGTAAGAGGAGAAGGTGGACATTCGAGTCCTAATGTATCCATTTGTGCTGTTGTTGTTAATTGATCTTCTGTTGAACGATTTCCAATTTTATCACGTAAAGCTTCGTAAAGATTATGTACTGCTTCATTATGCTTAAATTATAAAAATTAATATGGTTTAATAAATATTTAAGATTATTATAATATTCTATCATATTCTTTTCTCAATTAACATATATTACCTGACTAGTTGGTTGGAGTGCTTTCATTAATGTATGAAGACGAGTTGGTGGTAATTTTGGATGAATGTACCAAAGTAATTTTAGTAAATGTCGCGTAACATTATCTCTACCTAATCCGGCTAGAAAAAATTCATCAAATATAACTGTACAAAATGATTCATTAGAAAATTCATCAGCCATGTTTAATATTAATAAAGATACCTGTAAAAAAACAATTTAATGCAATTTAATTTTATCTTTCTTATCTTATTAATAATTACATAAGTTTTAAATTTGATTGAAGCTTACCAAAGTGTGTAAAAAGGGATCTTCAAACGCACGTTGTGCTTGACAATTTGGTAAAGTAGCTAATACTCTCATTAGACCCCTAGCATCACCTCTTCCTTTTCCTACTCCACCACCACCTCCTACATGTAAAGCATAATACATAGATAAAACAGCAGCAACACCTGAAAGTTGTGCATATGCTTGACAAGCATCAGGAGGAGGACCAGAATGTTCTATTATAGCAATTGCACTTTCTCTCTCATCAGGTGGAAGTTTACAATTTAGTTGTCTTATTTGATCATCTACCTAAAAAATAATTGCTATTATTTTATCATATTTATTTGAAGTTATTTATTACATTTTATAAACAAGTTTACCATTAAAGACATAAGTGCAGGTAAAAACTTTGTTACAACTTGACTATCTAATTTTGGTTCTTTAAAATCTTGCGAATCAATCATTTGCCAAGCAGATAAACCTAATGCAAGCATTCTGAGTAACAATACAAGAACTGCATTTTCTCTAGGTAATGCTTCACCATTTATCAAATGAAGTGCAATTTTAATGGCACTACTAGCAAGGAAATTTACTGCATATGGATCACACAATATCATACTTAAATCTCCCAATACTTGTTCTTGACCTCTCTGTAAAAAACTATAGATTATTTTACTTTTCTATCAATAAATAAAAAGATACTTATTATTAAATATTAATTAATTTTATTATATACCTTAATACTATCCAGAAAACCTTGTAATTCACGGGATCTTTTAATATCAACATTTTTTTCTCTAATACATGCATCAAGACACCAAGTAAATTTATGACATGGATCAACAGAAATAATATCTTGTACCTAAAAATATTGAATATTAAGATATAATATAATATATCAATTTTACATAATATTTATATAAATAATTTAATATTATATATAAATTAACCTCTAAATCATGTAAGGCCATTAATAATTCTGCTCTTAATGTACAGTAATGTATATTTTTTGTACGTAAAAATAAAGTTCTTAAAAATTGTAACACCATATCATATAATTTTACACTATGTCCAATCATATGTGCTAATTTTTGTACCACTTCACCTTGTCTTCTTACCTAAATATATAAATTAAATATAATTTATAAAATTTAATTTTTGTTAAAAATATCATAAAATTAAGATTTCTACATTATAAATATTTATTCTTAATATACCTTTGGAGAAGGCATAAAGAAAAGACTATTTAAATTACGATGATCAAATAATATCTGTTCTTTTTCAATAATGTATCGGCTAAATAATGGAGAAACTTCATCTCCAAATAAACTTTGATTATCTTTCCAAATTTGACGTTTAACTTCAGTATCTGCATCATTATATAATTCTTTTTCTCGAACAAGTACTCGTAAATATTTATCTTCTATATGTGGCGTATTTCTTAAAATACACATAACAACTGGCCTTAGTGCTGTAACTCTTACAGCAGGAAAACTTTTAGATAATAATTCTTTTAATCTTCTATCTCCTGATGAACCTTTATCTGCTCTTTCTGTCCCAATTTCATTGATTCTTTTTATTAATTTTTCTCTTAATTCTTCGAGAACTGATGCATGAAAATCTAGTCTTCTTACTCCATGAAGATCAAGCAAAGGTAACATAGGTCTTAAGGATGGAAGTAGAATACCATTTTCTAATTGAAATTCTTCAATTGCTTTTAATGGATCTGTACAACTTGTTAAGGCATCTCTTAAAAAACCTTGTCCAGGTATACCAAGATCATCTAAACCATTTCCAATTTCACAATTATTTTTTACAGTATTCATTATTATTTTGTTTATATTTAATAATTTTGCACACGTGAATGAAATATATATAAATTTATAATATAATTTCTTAAAAATTATGATCTGTTTTATAATTATAAAAAATATTATTACCAAATATTCTTCATTTTTAAATAAAATTATTTATTGAATATAATTTTTTGCTGTTTAAATAATTCTGAATCACTGCAAATGCTTTTTAATATAATTTTATATATAGAATTTGAAGTTGTTGGTGTAACATTGCATATTCCAATATTTTAAATTTAGCAATGTTAAGTTTGATTCTTTAAATTATTTAAATTTTATATTTTTTTTATTTGCACTGTATAATTAATTTATATAATTTATTTTTAATACATAACATTATATTTAATTTATATATTTATTTAAATCAAATGTGAATTAAGATTGTCGGATAATTCTTTATATCGATTTATACGTGACGTCAATAAAATATTGAGAATCAGAACATCAAAATCAGAGCACAACTTTTACGTTCTTCTTTTGGTAACTATTAGGCTACTAAAAGCATTGCCACAAAAATTTTTTTTCGAGGGAATGACATATCCACTCTCACTTCTATATCTACATATCGTGTCTAACTGTAAAGGTATAAATCCTATTTTCATTTATCTACAATATCTACAAAAATTCAGTGATTAATGCTAACTATATTAATTTTTTTCTTAAATAATCTTCTCCTGGCTATTAATCTAGATAATAGAGAGAGAACTATTAAAATAGAAGAAATGCGTTAGTTCACAATGCTATGCATCGATGTTATTTATCTGTTATTTTATAGTACTACATAGTGTATTGTATCATCAACTAGATGGCATCATATCGCATCGTGTTGCTAAGCAACGCGTTTCTCCACCTCAATGGTTTCCTCTCTACTATTAATCTCTGTATCTCAATGACGTCACATGTAGATTGCTGTGCGTTGTAAGAATTCTCCGTCAAGTCTGTGGAGAGAAAGAATACGTATATTTATTCTATCTCTCGAAATATCTATAGATATATATACATGGATATGTTTATATATAGATAACATAAATGTCAATTCAGAATCTGAAGTTCAGATGAATATGTGATATAATATAAAAATTAAAATTATATTTAGATTGCTATTATTATAAATATGATGTGAATACAAAAGATAGTGAATATATAAGATAGTAAAATATAAGTTTGCAAAGTGATCCAATTTAAGAAGAAATAAATTACATTTAATATATATTCATTTATAAAAAAAACAGCATTTTAAATTATCATGGCACAATCAACAACTAGTGGAACATCTTCTCGACGATATATAAGAGAACACGATATTAATGTACCATCTTCATCACGTTATGTGGATAGTGAATGGGAAACAAAAGAGGTAATACTTTTATCTTTAAGTTACAAAAATTTATTTTTGTTGAAAAATAAATTACTTTTAAATTTTTAATTTAAAAATAAATTACTTTTAAATTTGATGCATATGAAAATTTAAAAATATTTAAATTTATTTTTGAACAAGTATTTTGAACATAGTTACATATTTATTTTAATATGTTATTTATTATAATTATTATTTTATTATAAATTTTAATTTATAATTTTTAATTTACAAATTTTAATTTATAATAAAATAGTAATAAATTATTTGTTTAATAATAATATTGTAGGCTTTACGACAAAGAGAACTTGAGGAAGCAAGAGCACGAGCTGCGCAAATGGAAAAAACAATGAGATGGTGGTCAGATTGTACTGCAAATTGGCGTGAGAAATGGAGTAAAGTACGTAATGAAAGAAATATGGCAAGAGAAGAAGCAAAGATGCTTAGAGCAAAATTAGAAATTGCTGTAAAAGATGCAAATAGTTATAAACATGAATGTCAGGAACTTGAATTACAAAATGAGCAGTTAAAAAAAGAAATGGAAAAAATACATATGGTACTGTTAAAACATGCTGGACAATTTGATCAACAAATTTTTACAGTTTTAGAATCAGATCCACAATTAAGAAATACATTAGATATTAACGAATTATTGAAATTTTATAATAATGTGGAACAAACTGAAAATGTAAATTCTCAAAAAGATTTACTTTCTTGTAAAGTTTCACTTGATGAATCTAATGTTTGCTTAGCAAGCCATAATATTTTACCAGATAGAGATATTGAAGAATATGTATTACAAGGTGCAGTGCCAAAGCATGCTGTAGAAATATATAAAGATAGTTCCCTTTATTCATTAGATAAAGATATTGTGAGATTAGTTGATTCTAATTCTACAGAAAATAATTTAGAGAAAAACCAAACATGTACAGATGAATCTTATGTACAAAAAATATTATTGCTTCAGCATAAATTGGATGAAGCTACAAAAACTATATCTACAGAAAGAGAGTAAGAATATGAAAAATTATTATTCATTAATACAGAACTCTTTATTGACATCCTAAATTTAATAAATAAACTTAATAAATTATTTAAAAATTTTTTAACAGAGAAAAAAATTCATTACATCATGGTATGGAAAAATTAAAAGCAGAAATAATGCAATTAAGAAAACAGTGTGAGGAATTAGAGGAAAGTAAAGCTGAAATTACAAGAGAATTACTTGAATTAAAAGATCGATTTCAAATTGAATTTAGTGATATTCAAGCTGGTATAATTGATGAAGCTTCAAGTAGAGAAGGAATGAATCGTCGTTTGTGTGAACTTAGAGCAGAAGTAAATAAATATACATATTTATGCATTATACACACAATATTTACAATATTCATATATATTTTTATTTATTATTATTATATATATTATTTATAATTATATGATTTTTTAGTTAGAAAAACTTCAAGCAGAAAATGCAGCCGAATGGGGAAAACGAGAACGTTTAGAAACAGAAAAAATTTCTTTAGAACGCGAAAATAAACAACTTCGTAACGAATTAAATGATTTACAAGAAAGGATAGAATCTCGACGATCGCGTCCTGTTTCCACATCAGATAATGATACGAGACAATTACAACAAGAATTTTTAGTTAGAAATGTGGTTTGTACTATGTATTTTAATATAATATTTTAAATATAATAGATGTTTAATATGTAATTAAACATACTAATTAAATTAAATAATTATTAGACAATATTAAAAAAATCTTTGGAACAAAAAACAACAGAACTTTCACATGCCATGAGAAGATCAGAACAATATGAAGCAGAAGTAAAAAGAGTTAGAGCAAGAGTAGAAGAATTGAAAAAAGAATTAGCTGCAGTTCAAGATGAAGTAGATGCTGCAACTAACAGTGTTCGTAAATTGCAACGAGCAAATGAAGATCTTTTAGAACAATTAGAATCAGCTAATGTACAATTGGAACATTTTCGAAATAGGTAAGTAACAAAAATATCTAATAATATTCTTAATATATCATATATTCCATATTTTTCTAATTAAATTATAGAATTGTTACTGACAATTAATTTGTTATCAGTACTGATTCTTACACAGTTAGTGTAGGAACAGGAGAGACTCTTGAAGAAAAATTATGTACAACCAATAATGGTAAATTAACAAATGGTAAGTTTTAATATATTTTCTTCTATATATTAATTTAATAAATATAATAATTATATTTTATAAACATTGTTTCAGAATTTGAGCCTCAGCAAGCCTAGTATTCAATTATTTTAATAATTATATTAAATTAATTTAACTAATGATAAATGAAATTTGGAATGTGAAAAATAATTTTTCTTACATTTTCTAAAATATATATATCAATTGATATAGCAATATTTTTAAATTATTTTTTATATAAAATCTTGTTAAATATATAGGTAGAATAATTAATAACTGAACTTAAATAATGAAAAGTTATTATCTATTTCAGTATTGTATTATTATTTAAATTATATTTTTTTACATTTATATATAATTTTCTTTTATATAGTAGATAATTTTTTTTTTATTAATTTTACATATTATAACTATATGTATAATTTTTTTCTAATTTTTTTATAATATGAAAAAATTAATATTTTTATGAAAGATTTTTTATAAATATTAAAATTTTTTTTATTTGTAAAAACTCACATTCCAATGTATTATGTTTTAAATATTATTACTTAATGTATATAAATAATGTATATAATTTAAATCATAAATGTAATTTTAAATTTTGCCTCTTATCTAAAGACTGGTGAAGTTAGATAATGGAAAATTATATGTATTGTCTATGATACCTGATATTTATACTTATTATTTTTGTGTTAACAAATAAGGTCTAAAAAATCATGAGTGTATATATATCTATATTATGTAGAAAATATTTTTATTTTAAAAAATTGTTTAAATTTATATTTGATTGTAATGAATTTAGAAAAAATGTATTCAATACATATTTATTGATTGATATATAATTCATATCTGAAAACAAATAGAAAATAGAATCTTTTGTTTGACACATGTTTTATTGATAAAAGAGTATAAATATTAAAAATTGATGTAACATTAAATTTATAATATATAACACTCAATACAAGTACCTCAATAAAAAATGATATGTAATATGTGTATATGTAAAAGAAATAGTAAAAATATGATTACATTCATAAGATATATGAATGATCATAAAATTAATGCAAAAATAAACAAGGAGAGTAATCTAAGTTGTAATAAAAAATTTCTCTAATATTAATAAAATATGAAATAATCTATAAATAAAATTAAGTTTTTGTAAATAATATAAAAATTTTCAAAGTTAATGATCATTATTGACCTAACATTTCATAGGTGTACCATCAGGATATGTTGGCATTTTTGGCTTGCAAATTTTTGTTCTACCATTAGAACCATACACAATATTACAAGAAAATGTAAAATATCCACAAGTTGAACTTTTAGTATAATAACGATGTTCATATTTTCTCGGAGAATTTTTATCACCCATTTTACCAGCTATACTATTTGTAATTGTATAATAACTTGGTTTTATTGATATATTAGGAGCAGATTTTGTATATTCTGTGGAAGTTTGATGTTTTTGGTTTTCTTTAGATGAAATATGATTTTCTATTAATTTTTCATGATTAGTTTTAAGAGATCTGATTTCTGAAATGGGTGATTTAATTTTATAAATCACACTTGATTCCTTTGGAATTAAAGAAACTGTTTGAGATTGAGATTTTCCATTGTTATGAGCAATAGTTTCATTACCAGCTATAGATGTTACTCTGCCACGAAAACCATGTGGTATAGTATATCCTGATAATGATTGTCCAGATTGAAGTATATTTTCAGCTTGTGCTGTATTTGTATTTTGTTTTACATGAAAATTATATTGATTTTTAGATGCTTGTATTGTTTGTGATTGATGATTACTATTATTTTGTTCTGGAGTATAAATTTGTGAAATTTTTGGATTTATTGAAGTTTGTATTGGTGAGATATTATAATCTTCACTATCATATTCTTCTTCATAATCATCATATACTGTATCATCTATTTGTGATTTTTCAATAGATTGATTTGGTTTGCTTACAATGTTTAGTGAACTATCATTTGTTAACTTAATAATAACTTTTTTTTGAGAACTAGAACTAGTCTGTAAACTTTGAAATTTGTCTTGATTATATTTGTAATCTGTATTTAATGATATATTTGATATTTTACTATCATTTTTTGATACAATTTGTGATTCATAAGATGGTTTAAATGACTTAAATAATTCAGTATTTGTAAAATTAAAATTAAATGGTTTTCTAGAAGCTGCTGCACCAGATCCTGATCCTGCTTGTGCAGCACCAGTATAAGTAATTCCATATTGAAAAGATCCTTCAAGTTGAGATTGAGATTGTCCTGTATATGTTCCACTTTGAGCGGAAGCTGTTCCACTTCCGTGAAATGGTTTCAAGTATTTTTCAATTTTTTCATCTGTTTTAAGATATGGTTGAAAACCAATTTGAGCTTGACTTGAAGTACTTCCTTCACCGTTTGCTTGAGCATCCGCCATTCCACCTTTTGAACTTGCTTGTACTTGAGAATTTGTACCATGATTCCAACCACTGCTTTGTGCACCTGTTGTTGTAGCACCTAATTCTGAATTTAATTGTACTTGTGCTTGACTTTTTCCATAACCACCATGTGCTTGAGCATTACTTACAGCACCTTCTTTACCACCATTAATTTCTGTTTGTGCACTTTTATTAATATCAGTACTACCAGCTTGAGCTGAGAATGATCCAGAACCACTATAAGTACCTGTTACCTGAGATTGAGCTGTACCTTGTCCAAATTTTCCTTGAGCAGATGCACTTGCTTGAGTTCCTAAATCTGTTTGTTTTATAGAACTAGATACTTGAGAATTAGAATTATCATTTTCTATATGTAAATCAGTATTAGATTGATAATATTGAGGAATTTTTTTAATATTCGATAGAGATTCTCCAGTTAATGGATATTGTATAACAGGATATTGTCTGATACTTTGTTTTTCACTTGGATATTGTTCTATATTTTGTCCATTATCAATTTGACCTAAAGTTAAAATTCCTCTATTGTCATGCCATGTCCTAGGATATTGCCCTTGCATTGGATAACCTAATGGTATTTCTGTATGACTATTGGGATATTTTCTTGCTTCAGGAGCTTGAATTCTTACAATGCCATGTGGATAAGAAATTCCTGATTGATCAGTTTCAATTTTTCGATCAGATCCTTGAAGTCTACCATCAGCACTAACTTTTGCTTGATCATCTATTATAAAATGTCCTGTAGTTTTTGGAATAATATCTCCCGAATAAGCTTCACCACTTGGAACTGTAATAGAAATTTCTAATATAATATCTCTATTTGTCTTATTTGTTTCTTGTGAATAATGTATAAATTTTTTTATTTGATTTTACAATCAAATAATGAAATAGCATCATGAAATAAATACCTCTAATATTTGTAGTTCCAATTGCAGTACGACCAGGTAAAGTTCCTAATGAACCAATATTATGATATATATTCTCTTCTATATTATTATGTCTATTAATAAAGTAAGGTTTTTTACCAAAGAATTGTTTTGAAGGTATTTGTCCAGTGGGATAAATTTTGGCATCTGCAATTGCTTTTGAATTTGTTATAATTTGACCATGACCATCATTAGCTACAGTGCCAGGTATACTACCAGGATAAATTATAGTGCCACTGGTTATAGTACTAGGCGCAATTCCATCATCAACACTAGGGTAAGTAATACCACCATCAATTGTTGCATCAGATAGACTTTGAGGATAAACACTACTTCCAATTGTAGATCCAGGTATAGTTCTATAAGCTGTAGCACCTCTAGCTTTAGTACTAGATATACCACTAGGATAAACTACACCACTATTAATAGTAGCAGGTACATTTCCACGATAAATTACATCACTATCAGTTGTAGTATCAGATATACCACTAGGATATACTACACTACTTATAGTACTAGGTATATCTCTAGGATAAGCTATGTCACCAGTAGCTATACCTTTACGATAAGCTCTATCACCGCTAGTTGTAGTACTAGGTATATTTCCAGGATAAGCTGCACTATTACTAGTTGCAATGCCAGGTACACTTCCAGGATATGCTATATTATCTTTAGCTATAGTACTAGATATATCTCCAGCATAAGCTATACTACTACCAATAGCAGTATGAGGTATACTTCCAGGATAAGTTAAATGAGTATTAATTGCAGTACCAGGTATTCCTTGAGGATAAACTATATTACTACCAATTGTAGTACCAGATACACTTCCAGGATAAACTACGCCAACAATTTTAATACTAGATAAATCTTCAAGATAAATTATATTATTACCAATTAGAGTACTAGATATACCTGCAGGATAAGCTATATCACCAGTTTTAGTACCAGATATACTTCCAGGATGAGTTACATCAACACCTGTTATAGTATCAGACACACTTGGATAAGTTATACTTCCGCCTTCAGGATAAGTTGTTCTACTATTTGTTGTACCATCTACACTGCCAGGATAGGTTGTTATACCACTGGTACCATGTATATTGTTAAAGTAAGGTATATGACCTCTAATAGGTATTCTATCAGAATAAGTAGTGCTTATTCCTGGAATAATTTTACTAGGATGAACAATAGTGTCCTCTGATTGTTTGGTTGCTGAAATAATATTAATTTCAATGATTAATGTTTATATTTTATTTATTATTCATATAATAGTAATCTGAAATCTATATTATAATAAAAAGTTAGTTAACATGTATTACCTGGAATTTGAACATATCTATCTGGAGCATTTTCATCAGAATATTTTTGACAATCTTCACATCCAATATTACCTAATGACATACTTTGTGCTTGACCCATACCATATTTTCCACCTAAAGATATTTTATTCAAATATTTCATTTTATATTTAATTCATATAATAGTAAATAATAGTAAAAATATTTATTTCAAGTACTTACTAACAACTGCGCGTGAAGATTGTTGAGTAGCTTCAGCTTCAGCTTTGCCTTCTTCTTTATTATTATTATTATTATCAATACTTAAATACTGAGATTGTGTTTGCCCTTGAAATTTGCCTGGAGATTGTTGTATTTGACGACGTAAACGATTTTCTTTAAATTTTTTATTAAATTTCTGTTTTTTTTCAAATACAATTTGTCTTTTGGCACGTTTTATCAAAGATGGTTGAAGTAAATATTTTTCGAAAGAAAGTGAATTAAAATAGTGAATATTTGTTGGATTTAATATAGATGCAACTCTCTGTATTAAAATAATTTTACGTTTATTACAAAAATTAACTATTCTTTCTCCCGCAAGTTGCCATGCCTATAAAAAATAATAATTATTTATTTTATAATAATAATTTAGGAAATAATAATGAAAAGCAAATATCACCTTTAATTTTGTTAAAAATTCATTCGAAATATAAAAAGTTTTGAATCTTTGTTTGATTTTATTTTCTAAAAGTTCCTCCTTATCTTCAAATTTCTGTATATAACATTTATTTTCTTTTTTATCTTTATATGCTTTAAAATGCTATAAAAAATAAAAATCATCAATTATGATTTATTTGATTAACTGACAGATCTAATGAAAAACTGGTACATGCCATATTTTCATAAGAGATTTTTATAAGAGATTTTCATAAGAGAAAGGAAACAAATTGATGATAGCTTTATGTTTAGAAGATACTGATTCATATTTTTTTATTATTATTATTATTTTTAGAGTATCATATACGATTCTATTTATTAATGTACATTGAAAAACTTTTATATTACCCATATTTTATTAATCATATATGAACTCATAAATGTCAAAAAAATAGAAATTAATATGCATATGTCATATAGTTGTTTTCCACTAGGTCCCTCAATTTTAGAAGTAGAATATTTATTACCGTTTTGTAATCAGTAAATGTCCATTGTTTATTTATTGCGAGTTTACGAGTATTCGATATTTCAAAGTCATCATATACGGAACGATCAAAACGTCTTTTTTCCTATGAATGAATTAAGTTAATAATTGAAATGAAAAAAGTTTATAAAAAAAATATAAAAATAATGTTATATTAATATGTTAATAATAGAAATAATTATAGTAGATTTTATTATATATACAAAAATAGTTATAATTTTTAAATATTTTTTAAAATTTATTATTAATTTTTATATTAATTTTTATCTAAATATTTTTTATTAAATTTTTTCTTTGGTAACAAATGCAAATAGATAAAAGTAATATAAAAGAAAATTAATCTAATAAAGAAATTAATAGATTGTGCTATTTTCTAGCAATTTATCTTATGAACTTTGATCTCCAAATCTGTCTTTCAAATAATTATTAATATTTAATTTCTATTATTTTTTTATTCTATTAATTTTTATTAATTTTTTATGAATTACATTGTTTTTAATATAAAATTGAAAAATAATATAAAACTTTAAATAAATGATATATTATCAATTAATTAAATTTAAATATTAATTTAAATATTAACATTAAATTTAATTAATATTAAATTAATTAATATAATTTTTAACGATAAAATATATTGATTTGTTAATAAATCAAAAAAAAAAAAATAAATATGAATTAGATCAATAAATAGTTGTTCTTTTCAAAAATATTTTCTAAGGATGCTTTGAAATGATTCCTTTATAAAAGACAAATATTAAATAAAGAACAATGAATGGTAACTTACATAGTATCTTGAGAGTACTGTTCCCGAAAAGAAAACTAAAATGATAAAAATCAGTCGCATAGCTTTAGTTTAGTTCGATCTCTTCTTTGTGACTGTTAGCTTCTATTTGATGATAATCCTATTAGATTGATCGTCGAAACTACGCTACCAAACACTTCTTTTCATTTCTTCTATGGCTTACTTATGCTCGATCTTGCAAAGAGATCAAGAAGTATGAGGATTTGGATTAAAGTGAAGAAGGGGAATCAGTTTGATAGGGGAAATTCTAAGAAACGCCAGTATGTAAATGCGTCTGCAGTCTCATAAGCATTATAAGCATATATTATCTTATGTCGTCTCATGATGTCCAGATCTCGTTATCATCACGTTTTCATGAACATTTATATAAAACATTTATAAAATTTATATTCATATAAAAATTGCATTTGTGAAATAATAAAAATAATTATAAAACGAAAGAAAAAATAATAGAATACAAAATAACAATAGAATATAAAATAAAATTAGTATATATGCATTTTTATATGCGTTTCTAATTTTCTCTGAAAAAGAAGTTTTGAATTAAATTTTTTTTTTATTTTAAAAAATTATTTATATTCCTACAATTTAATCAAAATTATTAATATGAAAAAGTAATATATATAGAATTTGTTTTATTTTTAATATTTGTAATTTATTTAATAGTTATCATTTTAAAATGGTTTCTTTTTTCTTTGATTATTATACATATTTAGGATTATAAAGATTTTGATTTACGCAAAATGACTTATTCTGGATAAGAATAATCTATTTCACCATTTTCACAACTTTACTTTGCAAGACGCAAATATCTTTTTAATCGTACAAGATATCGTCTAAAGTCAATTTATGTGACCATTATCGACTGACGAAGATAAATGTATTCCCCTTCGTTGCCCTAATTATAAACTCCAATCCATTTGGTAAATACAGCAAGTCGTTGTTTGTTTTACTCTGATGCATTATTAAACTATCGCATAACATAGTTCATCAATAATGTAAAAAGATTAGATGAATAAAAATGAAAAAATGAATTTAAGACGAAATATTTTATGTAAATTTATATGTAAAATTACAATTAATTTTTTGATTACATTATAATAATATATAATAATGATAAATCAAATGGATGTAACTGTTAAATCAAAAATAGAAAATAGATAATGTATTTATTACAAAAATAATTGGATTTTTCTTTATCTTTAGTATAGACTATGGAATAGAGATTTAATGTATTTTTGTGTCACATAGTCCAGGGATCATGTAGCCCCATTACTTTTTCATGTCATATGAAATAATTATCGATTCAGATTGAAAGGAGACAATTATTGAGATAAAACAAGTTATAATTAAATATAATAATATGTAAATTTTAATTAATGTAAATGTTAATTTGTTTTTGACATAAGAAATATAATTTATTTGCTAAAATTTTTACATCTTTTATCTGAAAATCTTTTATTCTATCTGGATATCTGAATATTCAATTATAATTCAAAATCTATTTTAAGAATCGAAAATAGGATAAGTATTTGGATATTCAGATAATTACAATTCTTTCAATGTATATTCAAATATTTAAATTGAAACATTTAAATCTGATTCAATATTCAGATACTTATAAATTATATTAAAACTATATTATTTTAATATAGAATGCCTTGTTATTAATTATCGTTATAAATTACTATTTATAAATAATAAGTTTCAGAAAAAAATATATTATAAAACTGAGAATATAATATTTATATTTGTATCATTAAAGATTGATATATTATATATTTATAATTTTGAAATGATGAAAGTATGTTTAATTCACATTTTGTATTCCGTCTGTTATATAGCAAGACAAAAAAAGCAAATAATAAGAGATGGAAAGAATTAAATTTGATTAAAATTCGAAAATTAATGCCACAAAGAAGAGTACTATGAAACGCATAAAGAAAAGACAGAAAATAATAGGAAAAGGATAGAAATAACATAAGAATTGACTATCAGCACCATCTCTAGAGTATCAAAAAACATTTAGTTAAAAAGCATAGAATAAGAATTGAGAATTAACACCATCTCTTGATTGCTTTTAGAAAGATGATTCTTTAAAAAAATATCTTTAATATTTAAGAGATAATACTGAAGATTGATTCTTATTCTATTTTTATTCTTTTTCTATTATTTTCTGTCTTTTTTTATATATTTCATTTGTGATATTCTGGAGATGACGCTGATTTCTGAATTTTTATTCTATTTGTGTTTTTTTTCCATTATTTACTCTCTGTTTAATATCAAATTTATGTGCTCAAGACACAATTCCAATATTTGGTTATTGTGAAAAAAAATTTTTGGAAAATGGATAGTGAAACCACGAATATTAATCGGATAATCTATCGATATAAAGGTTCTATTTGTTTTTTTTTTCATTTTAATAGATAATATTTGCACAATTTATAAAAAATTGATAAAATGTTTACTTAGGCACTCCAATGTACAAATGGTTCGTGATATACAGAAAACAATAATACATTATAACTGTATTAACTATTAGATCATTTGTTATATTCTAAATATATTCTAAATACTAATATATAACGTAGGGAATGCTATTTACAACGTATGATTTTATAGAATCTAATAGAATCTAATATTATATTTTTGGATGTAATATAATGTTCTATATTTGATATCAATGACTAGGATATGCATACTTGTGTATGCTTTTAATTTCAGGTTATAAAACACATATTTTAATGTACAAGTTTACTGTGAAAAATGGATGAACTATATCATATTATTATAACCGCTACCATTCAATTATTTGTGCAACCGTCATTTTGTAAGTTTTTATTTTAAACTAGAAATAAAACTTAATATGAACATGAAGTTATAATTATGAAAAATTAGAAAATGATTAATGGAAAATATGAATTATTTTATGAATATATATTAGAAAAAGTTCAATAGTTGCACTTAGAATGGCAAAACGGGTTGGACTAGTTTACACTCAGATCATTATCGATTATCGATAACAGATCAAAAACGAAGAAAAATTATTAATTATTATATAATACCATCAAGGCGCTATTAGCCTGCATATGGCCGTAAGTTTCGTTTACGAAAGTTCGAATCACAGACGATACGCGTTCGTATTTAAAAACGCAATTAACGTATTACATTATAAAACTATTTTCTTAAATATACATTTGCAGCAAAATGTGATTTCCGAAATTACATTTATCCACATTATTTGCTGTTTTTTACAAACATCTTAATTTCTATTCAGTACTTTTTTTCATTTAAATTTTAATAGTCAAGTTTTTTTAAATTTAAATTTAACTATTATAATACACAATATATAGTTTAGTATAAACGCGTAACAGAAATTTTATACAGAGTACTGTAAAATTACTGTAAAAGAACTGTAAGAAGTTCTAAAAATTTCTTATATGAACTAATCAAAGTAAAAATAGTTATATTTTTTTTACACTATTTCACAATTATGTGAATGTTTATAATCCTGTTGGTATTTATTGGTAATCTACTAACTTTAGTGTATGTTAGTTTCAAGCTTCAAGGAATTTAGCTGCCTGGAAGAGCTTGGAAAACTTGATACAATTAATACTAAGGTAAGTATGCATATAGGCACTGCAATTCACGTTAAATCAATAAATTATTTTTTTTCTTAATGCAACGCATGATATGTCTTTAAAAAACTGTAACTACGTACAAATATTTAAGGCACAACACTAGGAATTGGTAATTTTCTCTCACAATTTTATCAGTAATATGACTATGTGTTATATGGTCCCTAATTAGGAAGGTGCATGGAATAACATTCGTGATTTCTATCTATAGTATTTGTTATGTTAAATTGTTTCAAAAATTGATTCTACATTCAACTATAAAAAATGGATATTCATTGCATATAAAGATTCCATTAAGTAAGTATAATAAAATTTTAAACGTTTCTCATTAAAACTTAACAAACTTATCTCAATATTGATAGGAATGACACTAGTTGTTATTAAGTAATTACGTCTTTATGTTTCTACGAAGCAATAATTTAATTGTTCATTTTTGGATTTAGATGGTAATTCATATTTATGAAATTACATTCGGTTTCAGTAATTTACTGATCCGTAAGTATAAAATAATCTTTGGTGTATCTGTATACGATAATATTGCCATTATTATTTTATAAAAATACTTGCCATAATTTTTGTTCTATTGTTTTGAACGAAGATACTTCTGTTCTTCGATTTTTCTATTTTAATCTATGCGATAGCTAAGTTAAGTGTCATTGTCGTTGGCTGGGAAAATGCGGAAGACCTCGTAGGATCGGAAAAATCGTAATTATTGGAAGAAGTATCATTGTTGAAACGACTGAGATGTTCCGGATTAGGAGATATGACGGATGTTCTAATGACCATTCTTGATACACATTCTGGATTCTTTGTTACATTATCAGATATTTTTCTTTCGCGTTCTTCACTTGGAGTTTTCTCTCTGTAAGAACGTTTTGATGGTGGAGGTGATGTAGACGCATCGGGAACTCTAGTGTTTCTAATAATCGCAGAAAACGCCGAAGATGAATTTCTTTGATCACGATTGAGGCCTAGGCGAGGAACAATAACGCTTGTAGGAGATGCCGTAACACACGATGTTGTTTGTAATCTGTTCAAAGAAGATGGTAATGGTGCACAAGTTTTTGTCGATGATGCTATTTTTTGATCATTTCCATCGATTTTATCTGTAGATGATCGATGATGGGCCCTCATACACGATGATTCTTCGTGTTTATACAGATATGATTTCAGAGCAAATGCTTTACCGCAACGACTGCATACATGTGGTTTAGTGTTCGAGTGCGTTTGTATGTGAGCACGTAAATTTGATTTGTCGGCAAATGCTTTATTACAGATTGTACATTTAAATGGTTTTTCACCTAGTATACAAAAAAAAATTATTAGAATTATATTT